TACGGCATGGGCAACACTGCTGCTTAAGACACGGTCGCCTCTACGGCATGGGCAACACTACTGCTTAAGACCCAGTCGCCTCTACGGCATGGGCATAATCAAAGAGTGGACTACAAGTCGCTCCCAGAATCTAAGGGCTAAAGTACTGAACTGGCAGAGACCTCGACGCCTCATGGGCAACTCCCAAAGCCTAAGAAATTGGATCAGCGCCTACGAGCTCGTCGAATTACGAGCCAAAAGGAGAAATCTACACCCTTCACTGAGTTACTTTCAGCTCGACAGTGGGGGGCAAATGATGAGGGCGAATTTGGCCCTCTAATGACATTGTGACACCTGGCACATCATGCCAACTAAGTGCAGCCTCTTGACAGCTAGACAGCTCGAGCTCGCCTCAGGCAGTTCGCCACTAGGCAGCTCGCCATCATGCAGCTCGCCACAGGCAGCTCACCACAGGCAACTCGCCAATAGGCAGCTCGCCACCATGCAACACACAGGCAGCTCGCCATTTTGTAGCCTGGCACCTCAGAACAACTAGATGACACCCGGGACCACTTTGGCAACTACTTGCCTTTGCTAAGTTGATGGTGTCCCACCAGGCGTAGCCTGGCACAGGCGCGGCCTGGCACAGGCACGACCTGGTGGCCTGGCCCTGGTGCGACTTGGCCCTGGCGCAACCTGGTCCTGGCACGAGCTGGCAGCCTGGCCCTGGCACGAGCTAGTAGCCTGGCCCTGGCATGAGCTGGCAGCCTGGCCCTGGCGCAACCTGGCCCTGGCACGAGCTGGCGGCCTGGCCCATGCGCGACTTGGCGGCCTGGCCCAAGCACCGACCTGGCGGCCTAACACAGGCGCCAACCTGACAACCTCGAGGAACATACTTCCGTACCCCGCATTTTACGGGATTGTGACTTGTAACAGCTATATTAGCTCACCCACTCCCCGAGTCAGGCGGAAATGGGCAACCTTACCAATTGGTGGCTTTATCCCCACCTAAGACGAAAGCAGGTCCCATCACAGTGGGAATCTAAGAACTGGTCCACCTAACCCACAAGGACTCCAGTATATAAAGACCTCACCCCCCCATGGGCAAAGGGATGCAAAAAATAGGAGATGGTAACCCCCTGCTCTCTAGCTCTCTCATTATCTTATATTATTTTCATCTCACTACTATATGTTGACTTAGCCATCGGAACGACCTCGTCGGGTAAACACCCCCGAGTTCTTTGATTTAGTTCTCACAGGTCCCTCAACTCCCGCTGTCTACATGGATGAGCAGATCATCTCCGACAGGAAGTAGCCGGTTTAATTCCATGACTACTGGTAGCCAAATCACCTCCTACAAGGAACAATTGGATTGCACCACGCCAGGGAGCTCCACTTGCGAGCAGACGAGCAGCCAAAAAATGATACCTTACCGGAAACCGTCACATCAAAACCTATTTTCAAAAACAATGATAAAAGGCAATGCGGACTCCTCACGAGTATCTCTATCTTCATTACTGTACCCAATCTTTAAGCCAGTCGAACCTCAAATGTTGGACATCAACAATACACGAAATTTTCCTTTTCAGTAAAGTTCAAGTTCCTGTACGCATGCCATCCGTTGGAAGACAAGATCTTTACAAATATCTGTGGAAGTCAGTTTCAATCGGTCTCTATGTGTTAAATGGGTCCATCCCCGTGTATAGGACTGTTTCAGAGTCCTTCCATAAGCCAAAAACCCTAGAGCACAACAATGAGGGCTTTAATGCACCAGAGCTATGGAGGATGAAACAATCCGATTCACGAATTCAATGAGGTTTTTGCAGAGGGTCAGGTGCAGGGAGTAGCACCAGCACCCTTAAATCGTCCGAGTAATGCGGCCTACACGGCATAAGAAGATTTGCCGGTTAGATTACAAGGCTAAACAGAGCTAGATACAAAGAACCCACTGCCGGAAGGTTTTATACATCATCTACTTCCTTTGCATCATCTTTTTTATAATCTCATAAAAGGTAATTTTTATAGAGTATTCTATCATTACTATCATTGTGAATTTTCATTCCAACTTCATAAACAAAAACATTTTTTTTTAAGAAAAAACACAGGCATTCTCCTGTTATATACAAAAGACCATTCTATCATCTGACACTGGATACAAGTACCGATCTATACACAACTGATTATGTGTGCCAAAGAAAAAACAAAAGGTTAATGCAGGGTTTCACTACATTCTCAATTCATTTACGACCTATTAGCTTGCTTCAGTAGATTGAATCTCAAGCTCCGCCCACCAAAGAGGAGATAGTTTAGGCGTTGCCCTATCAGGTCCCATTGCTGTAATTTCTCTTAATTGAGCTGTAACCTCTCTCATTGTCGGTCTCTGCTTGGGGTCAAGATGGACACAACATCTTATCACGTCCAATAATTTCTTGAGCTCCTCCTCTTGGAAGGATTTCAGAGTCGGATCCACCATTCCTTTAAGGGGCTGCTCCCCTCTGAAGTAAACTGATGCCCAGTCTATAAGTGAAATGTTGTCCACCGAGTATGGGAGTCTACCTGTTATCATCTCCAACAAAGTCAAACCAAATGTGTAAATATTATTCTCTAGATTGGAAGATAAAGTTTCAGGGATATCCATGGTGGTCGATCCCATATTAGAAGCAGCTATATCATTCCATAGACCAAAATCTGAGATTTTGGCTGCATAATCTTCAGTCAGATAAACAACAGATGAGTTCAGATTCTTAAGGATCAAAGGCGGGGTGAGTTGGTGCATGTATTCAAGGCAGTATGCCATTCCCATTGCGATCCTCAGCCTTGTCCCCCAGTCCAAATGTTCTGATTCTTTTACTGCAAGATACCAACAAAATTCATATCAGGAAAAGTAATAGGAACCATAAATAGGCTCCACTAAGTCATGACCTAATTAATGATTAATAAAAGGGTCGGAGTTGGATATAGGATTATCTGCATAATTTATTTTTTAAGATAGAAACTTGCTTATCTTGCCCATATCTCTTGATTCATGCCAAGATGGTCTGCGATACTTCATATATTTTCTAAAAAGAGAAAAAGGTTAGTTTGAGTTGTATGGTTGGTGGATCTGTAACTGGTTGAACTTCGATATCTAGATCTGAATCATGACACCATAATTCTTTACGATAGGATCTAGTCATTTTACTTTATTTAATATATACATATACATATTTCTGGCAGGTTCGATGGTGAGACTATAGTATCAGATCTCCTCACCCACAAATTAATAATATTCTAATACTGCAAAGCGGATGCATAATCTTTTTTCTGAAAACTACACATGCTATTCTGGTAGATTGAATTGATCAGCTCAGTTTGGAAAGGTATGCTTATAGAATCCTAATATTCTCAATGATACTCATTATTTCTTCTCAAAAGTCAAAATATAGGCTGATCCAGAAATTAACTAAAGTATGATCAAGGTACTGGATGGTTTCTTCATTAAGTTTAAGATGTTGCTACAGAAATCCTGGGTCTAAGAGTAGGTTACTTACTGTGTAGATGCTCAAAAAGTGTTCCATTTGGTGCATACTCAAAAACCATCATTCTTGTAAAAGGTTCCTCTTCCTCACAATACCCAAGAAGGTTCACAAAATTCTTATGGTTCACTTTTGACATTGTGTCTATCTGGAATCATAATACAAGAAAATAGTTGGGAACTGTTGGAATAAATAATGGGCACATAAAAATGTTCATTGAAGTTTGTTTCATAATTACCTTCTTCCTGAACTGACATTCAAAATTCTTTGACCAATCCTTGGCAGATGTCAAGGAAATACTAATCACTGCTATTTCAACTCCACTGGACAGCGTTCCTTTGTACATTGTGCCTTCTGATGAAGAATCTATTATATTACTAAAATCTTCACAAGCTGTTTCAAGCTCTGACCTCTTAAGCTTTGGCACACCTGAAATATGGAAACATCAGGAATATAGAACTACAAGCTAATTACAGCATACAAGGAATATTTGCAGCAGCCTAAGAGGATCTGAAAAACATATCTCTTTCTTCTACTTTCCATTACTATTAAGGGAGGTTTAGATTCATTGTTCCATTGTTCTTGTCAAGGAATATAAATAGACCAAAATCATGTTGTCACAACCATCCAATCTATTAAGGTAAAATGGGCCATTAGAAACATAAATAGCTTTCCTTCAAAAATACCAAGGAATAGAAGGTTGTCACTGGTTGACTGGGTTCTTTCCTACCCAAGAATATTGCATGGTTGGGACCAATTAAATGATGGGTCTGACTACATAGCTTGTCTGTTATGCATCCAGGCATGCCTATTCTACTTTGCCCTTTGTTTAAACTGTGTCATTATATTGCTAAAATTATAAAACACACACAATAATTCATTTACAAGGAAAAAATGAAGAATGACCTTCACCTGTTATAAATGCTTTCTGAAGCTGCCCGCTTAACCCTGTCGACCAAGGTTTGACTGTAACCACCTTATTTCTTCGACAATATAGAATTCCAATGACTGAAAGACAAAGGAAAAAGGCAGCAACTGAAGCTCCAAACCAAATAAGAAATTTAGGATTTCCTGATGAAGACTGCAGTTGCACATTATTGACTGGTGGTGGTGCAGATGGAGATGGAGCTATGACTTTAGGAGAGGGCGATGGCAAAAGTGATGGAGAAGGTGGTGGAGAAGGTGATGGAGAAGGTAGTGGAGAAGGTGATGGAGAAAGTGATCCCTTATTATCAACAGGTGGTGTTTTTGCACCTTTCGCGTTTAGCCCTGAACCTGTCAGCAGCCTCCTTTGAGCATAATGTCTAGCTTGGACAGAATTCCTACAAGACATAACAGTAGTTTGTATGATACCATGTTCTATTTCAGTTCCAGTGCAGAAGAGATCTTTTGAAAGAATACAAGATATGAAATGTTCTCATTTAATACATCTGGTACATGTGCAGGTCTTCTGAACCTACCACCCAATGGAAGCCAACAAAGAGAACTTGATCAAAATCTTATTGATCTAATGATCATACCATCAAAATCATAGAATTTTTTGTTGGGCTATAATGTTCTTTATGATGAGTCAAAAGAGTGGTATGCTGATGTTACACTCATTCAATGGTTTCTCTCTAACTATTTTCCTTATAAAATGATTTCCAATGTATGACTCATGGGATTATGGTCTCAAACACCCAAAGTGCGGATAACACTAATTAGTAGTGAACTATCTACATAGCCCACTTCAAATGTATTAAGTGGAAGATCATACAGATTGATGGCACTCAAAATATAATCTTACCATGGAATAGTTCTTCTGTTGCAGGATATTCCTTGTGCAGCATTGCTTAGCAGGTTCTCATCTATTTGAAGTTCAGAAAGCATATTAAGCTCATGAAGTTCAGGAGTGGCACCTAGGAACTTGTTATTATCAAGGAGTCTGCAATATAAATAATAAGATTATATCAGCAAAAACACATCATAAAAGAGGAGATTAACAGAAAGTCAGCTCGTCAACAGCTGCAACTCACAGGATAGACAGGGAAAGGTTATTGCCAAGGTTGGTTGGAAGTGGCCCGCTGAAGTTGTTATATCCCAAGTCCAACAACTCCAGCTCCTTCAATTCTCCAATCTCTTTAGGAACGATGCCAAAGAATGAATTGTTGCGCAAAACACTGCAAAGAGCAAGAAGAATTAAAACAATTTATAGTATGGAAGACAAGGTTCTCAGATAATATAAAAGACACAGATTTATAAAGTACTTTGAGGACCAGGTCTTTGACAAACATGTCCTTACATAGACTTTATGTGAATAAGGTTCCTGATTTCAGGTGACAACGTTCCTCTGAGGCAAAGATCTCTTAAATTCCTGCAAATAAAATAATTCTGACTTCAGCAACTGTAAAAACACATAAACATGAGAAATAAATGTGTTGTTATTAAAGTTAGTACTAATTTTTAATTAATTGTTACTACTAGAACTTCTGTGGTTGTTTCTTTACTATTTTACTACCATCTCTTAGTTTGCATGGACACAGGCACGGGATCTGACATGTTTTTAGGAGTGCAACTTGGTGAATCCCAAAAATGTAGGATTCATGGGCATGTCTCACATAAATAATGTTTTACTTGTATTAAGCATTTTGATTTCTAACATTATTTTTATAATTCGTAGAATTATATAAGTATAAGACACAAAAATGTAGGATCAAAAAACCGTTATGTATCATTCCGGGACCTCTCCGATATGCCCTTACAGTGGGGTGGAGGAGCCCCAAACTGACCCCCCTGAACTGATTTTGAAAAAAATAAAAAAAGTTAAAAAAAAATAAGCTATTGATATCGCTTGATATGCCCCTACCGGCGTATCGAGTATATTGATATTATGAACCTTAAGTATAATAACTTAAGTTAACCTCGCAGCCTTTGCCTATTTACCCACATGGTCACACTACTTGTTTTTCATTAATTTCCTAATTTCAATGTTAACCGGAAAAGATCCAATAAACCGGTTGTTTATTCATCAACTGCTCAACCGTCCATTACTAATACAGACTCAAAAATTGAAGAACAATGGACCACGTATTGAACCAGGATAGATTAAATGCAAATTTTGCAATTTTATGAGCGACCCTATTACACATAATTGGGATTCCTGATGCATTATAGGCTGGTAAAATGGCATCTTAAGTCATAAATATGGATTTGCAATGGCAATATGGACTGTTGGTTAGGAGTTAGGACACGTCCTTATTCCTTACTGCCATTGATACTACATGACTGCAAAATGCCTCATTAAACAATTAGAAAGTATGAACGTATAATTTATAAGTAATCGCTGCAAGGGTATGATAACAAAGAACTTTGACCAATCAGAATGCACCAGCCCCCCTCCCCATGAATTTTGATGAATACCTTTTTCATACCTGTTTTTTGCATTGGGTGACCATCGCAAGCATGGTCACTGATGCGACTCTGACATGGTTCTGAAACCAAATATTGCTGTTTTATGCAAGGTTTTCGAATTGCCGTTGATTCGGATGGTCGGACAGTTTGGCCTGAAAATCATTCAGACAATCGATTCTGTTTTATTTTAAATCTGATTTTTGGTCAAAACCGTCAAAAAAATTAATAATCCGTTGATTCGGACAGTCAAACTCGTTCAACAGTTTTGACTGTTTTTTATTTTTAATTTATTTGTGAGAGTGAATGATCCGTTCGAACCAGATGATCGGACCATCAACCCAGAAAGCGGTGGCAAGAACAATTCTATTTCTGAATTGTTTTTTAAAACGTTGATTTTATGAGAAAACACCAGACCATTGCATTTTCAGGATTAGCAATGAAGAAATGGAAATAGAACCAAACACCACCAAAATGTCCCATTGCTTTTCAGGATTAGCAACTGTACTCCTTCCAAATTGAGCTTAAATAAATTTTTAATGGGGAAATCTCAAATAAATTCCTGGAGGTCTGGCAATTTGTTCACGACTCTGTATTTTTCTCGACACCCCCCACCACCAAAGAAGGGAAAAAACGAAGAAATGAAACATTGAAGAATGAAGAAGGAGACTTTAGATTGCATGACCAAATTATATTTATTTATGCCAACTAATCAAATAATAACAGCAACTCCACCGAGTTTCTGCATTAATTTTCTGAAGCACTAGGCTCTATGTTACCATCATCAGTTACTGCGCAAACATGACTAGAGACCACCTAACAAAGTAACAATCTAGCGATTATTTTTTCAGGTTTCAACTCATGCGCTATGGACCTATGGTTTAATGGATCTTAAAGCTAAAGCTAGCAGAACATATACTTCGACTCTCTATCGTATTCCCAAATGTTGAAGAATAATTTACACTCTGTATGCAGCTGCTGTGTTTGGTTCGATAGAACACGAGAGCAACAGAATAAAGTTGAGGGGAAGTTCTTTAAAGGAATTTCACCAAAAAAATAAAATCATTCTGTTTCTGTTTCTCTCATATTACAGCTTCAAGTTGTACGAGGAAAAAGTCAAGCTAGAAAATTAAGGAAATAAGTGGAACAATATTCAGAATCCATTTATATCGTATGAGTTAATGAAGATGTATGAATTTCCGACGCAAAACTCATGACCAGAGTCGAAAGAAACTGATTAGTGGTTACCTGATTGCTACTAAGCTCAAATACCTACAACCCAAACTTGAGATTTAAAAGAAAAAAGAAAATCATTCGAGCAGTATGCAGAACAATTAATAAGCACCATGGAGAAGATGCGCAAAACGAAATCTTCCAGTAAGTACAGGATCCCAATTTAGAGGCAGAATCACTTACAGGGCCACAACATTTCCCTCCGAGCACTCGACGCCGAACCACAAACACGGGTCGTCGAGTCCGTCATCGTCGTTCCAATTCGACAGCGCTCCAAAAGGATCGCTCACCACATCTTCCCGAAATCGCAAAAGTGCCCACCCTGCATGCAAATTAATTGAGTAAAGCTCAGTCTTTCCAACCCCGCAACTGCAAAATCAAAAAGAATTGCTAAACCACATGCCTTCTGCGTTGAGACACCAACAGAAATCCGAATGTTGATACAACAATAGCATCGCTAAAGTCAACGCCATGCGAATCCTTAACTGATTGAATCTGCATTTTCCGTCCATCGGAATAAAAATTTGAACAAGGAAAGAAGCCTGAAATCCAACTAAATATTGATCAAACAATAGCTCAATTGCGAATAAGCTAAGTTTCGGATTTTGGAGGAAAATGGAGGGGAGGGGTGGAAGAATCTCTTTCGCGTGTCTGCAAATTTTGCTGAACCAGTAGCGTTGAAATTTTGAAAACGCGTTTTGTTGGCCTTTTTTTTTATATATTACCGAAATGTACAACTAAAAAGAAAGAAAGTAAGGTCTTGTTTGTATAAATAAAGATAGAGAGGTTAAAAAAACAGTAGCGACATTCTGGTTTCTACCGCCGCCCCACCCCCACACAAAAAAATAAAATAAAATAAAAAAATAAGTGTAGTTAGTGAATTAGTGATTACTGACTGTGACTGAGTACACTGCTCAAAATTCAAAAACATAGACCCAGGTTACAAGTTAGGGGAGCGTCCCGTGAACGTAACGCCGATTTACGAAGCGTTTCGGTTCTGGCATAAGTGATACGTTGAGTTTCGGGTGCGAGCAGTGAGCAGATATCCGATCCATGAGTATTTTGGGTAGAAAACTAGAAACCCAATCCATGATTGTATTTGCTCAAACCAGTCTACAAACTGGGATAAGCTTTGATAGACTATAGATAAAAGAATGGTTTGACCCGCTAATTGGATTTTCCTCTTTTAAAAACATTCTTCTTTCGGTATACGTGTCTATTGCCCAAAAAAGAGAAAGATGATGAAACCTCACCTCACCTCACCTCCTATGCGTTTTGATTTAGCGTGATCTGGTTGCTTCCAGCTGGAGGTGATCTGGCTTTCAGATGAACGGCGGATTGAACCTGCAAGGATATCAAAGAACCCGAAGGTGCTAATCCGGTGAGGTCGCTCCGATGCTTAAGTTAGTAGGCTAATAGTGAGCTAAAATTGCTTGAAAGTAGAGAGCTTGAGAGCAAGAAAATCACGCATACCTTGCACCCCTGGGGGGTGGAGCCTTTATATAATGGAGTCCTCACGGGTTTTGCGGAGTAGTTCTGGGATCCTCGTCATGATGAGATCCGTTTCTGCGATAATGGGAGATAGTGTCACCAACTGGTAGGGTTTATCGAGTCTGCCCGAATCGGTCGAGGGAGATAACACTGGCTGTTACGCGGTGTGATCCCGTGAAGTCTGGGAACCGTCAGAGGGATTTTTGGGACCCTCACAGTGGCATGTCGATATCCCCGAGCTGACGCCTTTAAGTCCTGAACTGGTGTGAATGTCGAAGTGTTCTTGTTGCGATATGGTACCGAGGCGATCTCATTTCGGGGTGACCTTGTCTCGAGGTCACTTTAGCCCGGGGTAGATGGGTACCCGAGACTGTTGTGCTGTGGGCTGGTCATGCTGAGCTGTCATCTGTTAGTCAGGCCGTGTCCACGTGTCCCCCTGTTACGAGGTCAGGTTAAATCACCCTTCATCAATTGCCCCCCACTCCCCGAGCTAGGGGTCCAGACTTGGTGCGGGAGTTCATGATGTGACAAGTGGAATTGGCTCGAGGTCCAAGCCGCTTCGTCGGATGAATCATTGGTCGGACCAGTTCGGCTACTTGGCTCAACCAAGAATAACCCGGGTCGCATCTGGTTTACGCACGGACGTCACATGATCTACAAACTCCGCGGACGTCAAAAAATGCACTAAACCGATTTCAACCTCGGGGGTCGCGCAACCGGTTTTCTTAGGAGCCGTCGGATCTCTTTGATCTTGACCGTTGATTCTCTGGTACAATGGCTATAAATAGGGGGACCCGACTCATTCTCTTCGCCATAAGTTCACTAGCCTTCGGTCTGAGGTCGCGTTCAAGCTCCTTAACTCGAGTCTTTCTGTGCGGTGTTCCTTTCTCGGTTCGGTCTTCCTCCTTGGTAAGTCTTCCCTAGCTCTCCTCTTCAATTCAGTTTCTTTTTCATGTCTAGTTTTAGTTTCAATAGTCTTCTAGATGAGGCTGAGGTGGGTGCCTTGGCCCAGGTCGATAGTCATACCGAAGTTACTTTGGGTCTGGAAATGGTTCGTTGCCCTCTTGAGGCGCGAGAGGCCTTTGGTAATCTGGCATCCCCCTCGCACCGAGGTCGGGTGTCGAACACTTCGGCCCATCGACAATGACAGCAGACAGGCTCCAAGCCTTGATAGCTCGGTACAACCTCCCGAACGACCTCATTTATAGTCTTCCGCTAGGCAACTTCCCTTGGGAACATGATCACAATGAGATCGTGATCTTCGAGGAGCAACTCGTAGCTGGTCTTCGTCTTCCGTTGCACCCCTTGATCGTAGAAGTCTTGAAGCTCTTTAACATTACTATAAACCAACTGCACCCGAACTCAATCCACAACGTAGTAGGGACCATCTCGCTTTTTTGTGACTATAACCTGCCCCTTGACCTTGATATCTTCTCTTCGATCCTGTCCATCAAGAAGAATGCCTCTTGTGTCCTTCTTGACCATAGGTGGACCTATTACCTGTCTCCTCGTTCGGGCTACAAGCTTTTGTACGGACTCCCAAATAGGGTCCCGGCCTGGAAGAGAGGTTACTTTGTGGTCCATAATACTGAGGGATGGCCCTTCCCAACCCATTGGAGGGCGGCCATTCAAGATCCCGGTGTCAGACTGGACCTGAAAACAAGGGAAATGCTCCAACCTTGGGCGGAGCTTGACCTCAACTTCGCGAACTACGTGGTTGAAGACAAGCTCGTGCAGGCTGGCCTGAGTCCTGTTAGGTCATCTCTATTTGTGTTTCTACTTAATTTCTGATAATGTTGTTGACGTTCTGCTTTCGTTGCAGCTCCCATGAAGCTCGCTGCAGATCAACTCTTTAGCCGGATGAAGGGGAAGAAGAACCGAGCTGCCAAAAGAGCTCGCGTCGAGTCATCGCAGGCTACCGTGCCTGAGTCCGAACCGTCCCCCCAATGTGTAACCTCCGGTGATTGATCTGATCGAGGAGGAACCAGGGAAGGCCTCCCCACCTCGCATGCCCGAGGAGGCATCTTCGAAGCCTGTTCCTGCAACCGCCATGTCTTCGGGCAGCGAGGAAGCAGTTCGGAGCATCTTGACTCCGAAATATAGCCTTCTCAAGAGAAAAAGCGCAATGTATGCTGAGGAGGTCGCTTGCTAGGCCAAACTATTGGTCGCTCAGCTCGGAGCTCGAGCGGCTACTCACTGCATGGTGGTAAGTTTTGTCTTGACTTCTTCAATTTCGTGCTTAAGACTTTTCTGATACTAACTGTGGTTCTCTTGGCAGGTGAACTCCGTTGTGCATGCTCTAACGTACCAGTCCGAGTTACAATTGAAGCAGGCTCTTGCGGTTGAGTCCTCGTCTCATGAAGCTCTCATTGAGCTGAATCTGGCCCATAACGATATCAACCAGCTGAAGAACGATGCCCGGGCTCAGAAGGAGCTCATTTCATTGCTAATGTCCGAGAAGGCAGCGCTGGATCGGGAGGTGGAAAACCTCGAGGCCCATGTCAAGGAACGAACCGAGGTACTCTTTCAGGCGGTGGAAGAATCCAAAGCAAAGGCCGTCGAAGAGTACAAGAGCTCGGAGGAGTTCCAAGGAGAGCTGATGGAAGCCGGGATGGAAGGTTACCGTAAGGGCTTTAAGCTTAGCAGGTGGCTGACCAAGCGCGAGTTTCCATAGCTCGATCTGAGCGCTATCACCACCTCGAGGGTTACAAATGAAATGGGCATCAAAGTCACCGAAGACCCAGACTTTGAGGCAAAAATTGACGACGAGCCGCTTGACATCGGAGAAGCCGGTGCTGACGAAAGGGTTGATCCTCCTGTCGAGGCATCGGACGAGGGCGAAGAGCATTAAGTCTTCCTTGTAAATCCCGGGCCTGCGAGCTCGACTTAGAGTAGAGAATTTTCTCTCTCTCTCTCTTTTTTTTTTGTAACGAGCTCTTCACATCAATGAAATACACTTTTTTGCCAAATGTTGTGCAAATAATTCTCTAACTGGTCGAACTAACCAAATAAGTATAGGTTACCCCGAACTGTCGAGCTTCCGAGCTGGACTACAAATAGGGGTAACTTCGCACGATGTACCCGAGGTGCGTGGACATCGTAGGATATCTACCCGACCTATCTGCGCGCGGATTACTTGGTGAGGTTAGTTGTCCCTTTGCTGGGATTCAACTTTTTCATTGTATACCGAGGTGGGTTAGACATCGTAGGGTTTATACTCGAGTTGTCTATACCTTAGGCATGAAATGAGTTGCCAATGCCGAAGAGGCAATTAGGTTGTGTCTGCCCATGCTGAAGAGGCAACTGGGACTTATGAGGTGCCGAGGTCTTTTGTCAGCTCGGCACCTTAACCCTTAGGCTTTGAGAGCGACTCACAATCCGCTCTTGGTTTTGCCCATGCCGAAGAGGTGACTGGGACTTATCGTAGCGCCGAGGTCTTTTATCAGCTCGACACTTTAGTCATTGGACTTCTGGGAGTGACTCGTAGTCCTCTCTTCAGTTCGGCAATCATAGGTAGTATCACCTTAGGTTGCTGATGTTCCACGCTCGAGGTACCTGTTTTCCTTCTAAGGTTTCAAGCTCATACGTACCTTCCCCGAGTACCCGCCTCACTCGATAGGGGCCTTTCCAGTTCGGTCCAAGCTTACCAACACCGGGCTCAGGTACCATGACTTTCTTAAGGACCAGGTCGCCGACACGGAAGTGTCGTTTCTTGACCCGGGTGTTATAGTACCGAGCCACCCTTTGTTGGTAGGCTGTAGTCCGAATGAACGCTAGGTCCCGTACTTCTTCCACCATGTCGAGGTTGGTACGAAGCTCGTCATCGTTTGCGTCTTCGTTGTATGCCTCTAGGCGTAATGTAGGCACCTTGATCTCAGTTGGGATTACCGCTTCCATGCCATAGGTGAGGTTGAAGGGGGTTTCACCCGTGGCGGTCTTAATAGTGGTTTGGTAAGCCCATAGTACAATGGGTAACTCGTCTACCCATAGTCCCTTAGCTCGGGCTAAGCGGACCTTTAGTCCGTGGAGTATAGCTCTGTTCGTGACTTCTGCCTACTCGTTTGCCTGAGGGTGTGCCACCGAAGTGAAGTTCTATTGTATCCTCATCTCGGCGCACCAACTCTAGAAATTGATATCTTCGAACTGCTTACCATTGTCGGAAATAAGCACCCGAGGTAGCCTGAAACGACATACTATATTCCTCCA